CATCTTCTGAAGAATGCATACGCCTAAAATATGGCTGAGATAGGTTGATGATACTTTTGTAGTGCTAAAACGAGATCTACACAACTCATTCTTGGCGAAACTGAACACTTCGGTGAAATAACACTTCTGCACTGCCCATTTAAGAGGAAGGAAAGCAGATATTGAAATATTTGCCTATACTCATGAATAAAACCCACTCCAACAAAAATTTGGACAGTGGTTCATCAGACCATATCAGCACGGAGTTATCGGTTGTTTCAAGTCTTCTCAGACGACCACACTCTTTGATGTTAAAGGATAAGAAGAAAAGAAAGAAGACGAAGAAATATCAAACATTACTGAAATTCTCTTGAGAGAAAAATAACTACCGAAGAGAGTTCATTCACAAAATCACCAATGACATTAAATATAATCAGAAAATGTATTCTGAAGATTTTGTTCCTCATCTGTCGTCATTCCATATAGACCATCAGGTACGTCAGACGATATAAGAAGAGGAGTGATCAATAAGCACAGAATCAGAGTTTTCTTCAAAACATTAGCTTCTCTCACACACACTACACAGCAACCTTGTCCATATGAAAGACCAAATCCCTAAGCATTCCCAAGCCAATTGTGTCTACAGAATGAAATGCTTGCAATGTGATGTGATGTGATGCGATACGTCGGAGAAACCTCACCGGAGAGAAATTAAGGTAATCAGAAAAAATGAGTACCGTAGATTGAGTGTCTATTCGACCACCAAGAAATTCAGTTGAACTAGAAAACCTTGAAAAATCATAAGCGATAGGTCGCTTACACACTACGCTATAGAATCAGGTGACGAAATTGATTTTGACAATATTGAAATGATGCAGACGGGTTTGAGAAACGACAGAGAACGTTTAGTAGTATGAAGAGCCCTTCATATCAAATGGCATCCAAATTGTGTCAATAGGGATGATGTAGTAAAACAGAGTTTGACCTGGTTACAACACCACCATCGATCATGAAGTGACAAAATCAACACGAATGCAACGAGCAATTTCATTACGGCTGCTTTTATAATTTTATACACTTATAAAATCCAACAATCTACACCTAGTATCCATCAACGTTGAGAAAACTTAAAATTTGGCTACCGAATATCTCCCCATTTAGTATAGGAAATAAATAGAATAATTTATATTGTAACTTTGGAAAATCCCTACCCATCAACTACTAATCTAGCGAAAAGTAGCTAAACAATATTTGATTAAGTTAATGGAAGACAAACACTTCCCAAGTTACTGCAAGAGTTATTTACAAAACAAAGCGATTTTAATACAGGAGGAACAACAGTGATTTGTGCAAAATAAGATGGTACCATCATTTCTTGGCTTATCGTCGGTTGCTTATAGTCTAAATAAACCATTAATTTAATGTATTAGTTTGTAGGAACTTGATTGACTGGTTACAGGATTTCATCATGCGCTGACATCGGTTAAAGAAACGTTGGAAATCCAGTTGGGAGTACTGGACAGAGCTACCTTGTCAGTCCGCTTTGGGACTCTTCATCGGCGCGCGAACCCAGTACCTTCCGATTACAAGGCGAGCTCGTAAACCATTTAGCCCCGTGTGACCCCAACGATTCAATGACCAGCCCATGAATTCTAACTTCTGTCAATTCATGAAATAGTATGACCACTAGAGAGTGTCTTCGAAGAGTATTTATGCTCACACCCGACGTGCTGTACCCTAGTGGTCAGGACTTACGTACATAAGTACAGAAAAGTTTTAACATACAAGCAAGCTGTACATGGTGTCAGTGGACAGGGATTTCCTAACTGAGTGAGCACTACTCACAAAAGTACAGTTAAATAGTTTTTACACAAAGAGTTCAAGTTTAAACAAAGTAAATGTATGGATACAATGGTGAAGGAGTTCTGCAATAAAGACAAGAGGTGTGTCACATGATGGGCAATTGATAAATTGGATAACAGTGTACTGAGTTCAACTCATATCACAGAAATGAGTGAAAAGCAAAATCACACTATATCAAATATGGAGGGGGGTTGAGATTAAGGCCAAAGACCACGTAATCAAATGAAAGACAGAAAATAAAGACACCCAGACACCGGGCCTGACAAGAGAAGACTGTTAACTGCTTCTTTATGCAAAAATCCCCATTTAGACGTTTAGAAAACAGAAAGATTGAGTGAAGAAATATTTACTTTTCAATTAGATCCTCATCTATGGCTCTACTCTAACATATAAATAGCTTTTTATTACAATACACAACAGTTTACCAAACAATTGGCGATATGTTTCTTAACAATAATTAGTCAGTGTCAAAATGTCAATGGGTTGATAATTAACAAAGAAAAGGCAGTTTTGAATTTGTGGAAAAAATAAGAGATCTTAGTGTGAGGGACAAGTTTATGATATCTTTTGATGTATCCTCCTTGCTCACCAATGTACCGTTCATGGAGACAGTGGATTTTATATGTGAGGAGATTACTACACGAAACATAGACATCGGGATTTCTATATCCACCTTGAAGGAACTTATTTTAAGATGTACAATGAATATCCATTTCTTATTTAGTAAGGGATATTACAGATAAACTGATAGTGTAGCTATGGGTTCCTCATGAGGTCCAATCCTGGCTGATTTTTTTCTCGCTAAATTAGAGAACGGACGACTGAAAAACGTTATTAATGACATGGATTTCTGCTGTCGATATATGGATGATACATTTGTGGTTTTGAAAGACGAGAATGATTAAATGAACATCCTTGACAAGTTCAGTGATGCACATTCAGCAATAAACTTTACCATAGAGGAAGAAAGTAATGGCAGTATCTCATTCCTAGACGTCTTTATGGCAAGGAAAGAAGATAGCGCACTAAGAAGGAGTGTGTATAGGAAACCTATGACAAAAGGTCACTACACTCACCTTTTAAGTTTTGTGCCTTTGAAATATAAACGTAACGTGGTAGTGTTTGTTACATAGAGCTAGGTTAATCTGTTCAGACGACTGCCTCAATGAGGAGCTTAAGATGATTAGAGAATTACTTAGAAAAAAATGGTTATCCAGAAAAATTTACTGATAAAAATATGAATTCAGCACCAAAGAGAGTCAGTATAGCAACAGTTCCGAAAAAACCAATGTTCATAAAATTGCAGTTTCTTGGTGATAACATCAGCGAAATCATAACACAGTGCCTGAAGAATGCAGTTAAAAGAGCTTATTATGCATCAGAGGTACACTGTCTCTTCAAAACCACCCCTGTTCTATGTTCGAGAAATAAGGATAAACTACCTAAATTTGCCTCTTCTATGTGTATCTACCAGTTTGACTGCTGCTGCGGAGACAGCTACATTGGGCGAACAATTAGGCGGTTTCATCGTCGTATTTCTGAACATCATCCAACATGGTTAAGCAAGGGACAAACAAGATCTATTCGTAGTTCTATTTTAGCACACCTTGTTGATACTGAGCATAAGATTGATGTGAATACTGCATTTAAAATTATTTATCGCATTCCTACTAATCTTAATTTCGCTTTACGAGTTCGTCTTCTACATGCAGCTGAAGCAATCGGAATCCACCTCAAGAAGCCTAACCTGTGTGTTCAGAAGAAATTTGTACAACCACTTTCTTTACCTTGGCCATTGTTACATGAATGTATAAACAAGACTACTTCGCCCCCCTCCCCATAGACATTTAAAAATTATAAAAATTATAATTGTCCAAATTATTTTATTTTTATTTATTTTGACCACTTCATCTTGAATTACATGTTATCCTTGTAAAATTAACTTATTCTAACCATTTCTACCTGTTAAATGTGTGTTGATTTTCTTCGTTTATTATCAACCCATTGACATTTTGACACTGACTAATTATTGTTAACAAACATATCGCCAATTGTTTGGTAAACTGTTGTGCATTATAATAAAAATGCTATACATTATATATTAGAGTAGAGCCAGAGATGAGGATCTAATTGAGAAGTAAATATTTCTTCGCTCAATTTTTCTGTTTTCTTTCTGAAAACACACATAAATCGGGTTTCAGGTGTTTGCTGGATATCGCTTCGCTTGAAACCCGACTTATGTGTTAGGGTTACCAGTATTTCCTTGTCTTACGTGGCAACTAGGTATTTTCATGCCCCCTCATTCGATTACATAACGACAAAATAATCCATTCTGTATTACAGTTATTATTGTTAATACGACTGTATGCGTATGTTGATGGTTTTGTTTAACAATGAACTCCCTGTTTAGGCAAGTATGGTAAAATTGTTTCTGTACATAAACTTAATAATACTGTCTTTAGGCTGCAAGCAAGCAGCTGATGAGAAGCCAACGACATAAACAAAGGATTGTACCATCTTGTATTCTGCACAAACCACCACTGTTGTTGTTCTTACTTTATTCAAATTCATAAAATGGGGAAATAAATGTATAAAGTGTTTTTACAAGTTCCTTATATAACCCAATTATATAGTCAATGTTCTTTCGTAGTAAGGCAAAAACGTTTTATTTTCATTCAAAAACACTTTCTACATCCAAGGTCAAATAAACAATATTCATTTTGTCTCAGCCTTATCCTCCTCCGTCTTATTTACTTTATTTATTTATTTATGAACTTTAGAGATTCCTAGACATGAAGTCTAATAGTGTACCATTGTTTCCCGTATTTCTCCCTACTCTGTGTGTGTTAGAAATACAAAGATGGCTATACACTGAAAGGACATTGAGCCTATACGTTTGTATAAACACAAGGAGTGGATATCTTAAGACAGAATTAATACTCAGGAAATTATGTGGGTTTCAAAATTATCCACTATTAATTGAATATATAAACAGTTATTGCATGTGAGATAATGTTTAATAAAATGTTCTGAACGTATGCTCAGACAAGCATAACAGTTATTCAAAAGGATTGTTATATATGTAAATGATGAAAGATACATTTTATGTTTTATCTCCTCAAATCTCACTGGAAGCATTTCTATAAATCTATACAAATATGATTAAATCCTCTCCAATATCGATTATTCATCTAACACTATGCATTGTAAAATGTCAGAATCAATTGTTGAACACTTCGAAGCATGATCCATTGAATTCTTCGAAAGACAATATGTCTATGATCAATGGTATCCTTATGGGTGTTGGATTTTTCCTTGGTATTGTAAGTCTTCTCACCTTGATAATCAGGTGTTTTAAGCCTAGAAGTCTGCAGAACAGTAAGACAGTATTTGAAATTATCCATCCTCAACAAGATGAAGCTAAAATATGGTCGTCGAATTTCACTTTGGAGGAAATTCATGAAAGTGTAGCATCGAATCAGCTGGAAAATGTTCATGATATGAAATATGCTATCAGTTATACTGGGAATAATTCTGCTGTAGACGTTGATGACAGCGCTTCACTAGGTAGAGAGGAACATACTTCTTACGATACTTGGGGCGACACTGCTTCTAGACATTAAGTGTAAAACAGAATGTAATTTACGGAGTATAACAAGCGAATTTATTCTTGCACATACATGGAGTCAACATATATGATATAATGAAATGTTCCTTTTTTCTGAAGGCATGATATGGGGCATGTCTTTGTGTGTTATGTACAGAACAATCTGAGTTTGTTATGAGTTTCATAGTCTTATTCACACGTGACACTTTGTTCTTTTTTTGAGAAATTTCTTCGGACAAATACTGTGAAGAGTGTTTTTTCATAAACGTTGCAAAATATTTTTCAACCGGAGATTTAATAGCAAAATATATGTATGTTTCTAAGCACTTCTAGGAAGTCAGTTTCAAAAGTTTTATTACTGATGTGATTGCTGAAACGTTTGAAACAAAATAATACGTTCTTCTCTCTTCAACTGTTCCCTTTCCTAGTGTAGCGTCAGTTTCAGGGAATACAATAGTATATAGAATTCAATCTTCATTATAATAAAGGTTTGTTGTATTTCCCAATGAATGAAAAACAAAACGATATTGTTTTTACTAACGTTTCGCTATTTAATGCTGCTAATAGCTTTATCAAATTGTCATTAAACCGGAATTTACAATATCTCAGCATATATATAACAAAGAGTCAAGGGGTGATAAAATAGACTTAGGTCAAGTTAAAGGGACATATTGAAAGTCAAATAGCAATGAAGATCACCAAACCAAATAACAAAGGTAATAGTACGTCTGTTATGATATCAAAATAAAGTTTACTAACTTGATCATCGTTCGTCAGTCTGGGGGCATTTTTTTCGTTGTCAAGTTGGTCAATTGGAAAAGATAACAAAATCAAGTATGGATTGTTGGATTTGATCAGTGTGTAAAATTATAAAAGTAGTGTGTGTTTGTTTACATAGTGAACTTGCTTATCACATTCGTGTTGATTTTGTCACTTCATGGGGGAGGTATGTGTTGTAACCAGGTCAGATTCTGTTTTAGCCCATCATTCTTATTCAGGCAATTTGGATTCCACTTGATATGAAGTGCTTCTGATGATATTAGACGTTCTTTGTGATTTCTGAAACGCTTTTTCTGGGTTATTTCAATATTGTCAAAATCGATTTTGTGGCCTGATTCTATAGAATTCAATCTGCTTAAATCTGTGAAGGGCGTCGGTGGCTTAACGGGGGAATGGTCGTCAACCACGCCTCACGTGGTCTGGGATTTGATGCTTCAGGCGACACTCTGCTTTGTCTCACTTAGATGTTAATGAGACTAGTAAGGAGGGGTGGTTGAGCATAAGGTCAGCAACCCTTTCTACCCAGTAAAAGTAAACACCACTGTTACCGAAACTTTAAAGATGAAGCATGAAGCCCTTTGTTCCATGACAAAGTAAAGTAATAAGATAAATAATGATGATAATAATAGATCTGTGTGGTGATTTGTGAAGGAGAAGGAGACCAAGAGAAACGCGTCTGAAGCACACAACTAAATTGTGACGGCATTTCTAAGGGTTCGCTCTGAAATTCCATACACAGTCAGTTATACTGCAGTGATGTGGGTTTAAAGTCGACTATTTATTTAAGTTTACAGATGCAAAATAGGATGCCCATGGTGAATACAAGTATAAGAAAAGAGCTTGTGCACTGTGGTACAGTATAATTCCATCGTAGATAAAATTTGTTTTGATAAATTCTCACAGTGTTTTACAGTAATATTTACTGATGACCACGTTTCAAGCACAATTTATTACTGCTCATCATCATATCAAGATAGTCACACAACTTTTTAATTTCGTTTATATAATTCCATTATTTGTCATCTCTTGATTTAATTGGTAGTAATAGTTTCCATATTTCTGGTATGAGGTATGAGTCTCTGCATCCTATTGCACGCGCCGGGTGTAGATTCCATGAATAAAGATTCAGTAATCAGACTGTCGCCATTTACATGTTTAACTTTTTGGAATTTTAACCCTCTCCAATCCCGTTCTGTGGTTGCGTGTTAATTCATGCAGTGCAATTGCTGAGCTTTTTCCTAAATTTCTCATCTTCTTGGGGTCTATCATTCTAACCTTAGCTAAATTCTGGTGTTCTGACAGAAAATCCAACTGCCCCGATCTACTAGTCTAACCAATGTAGTTGACTTAACTCACAATCATTGCAAGGTATTTTTAAAATTAAATTATTTTGTCTAACTGGGTCAACCGATAGGATCCTTTAACCTACAGAGCTTGTCCCTACCCGAGTACGTTCGTAGGTTTGAATACCATCACTCCAATTCTTTCTTTATTAAGAAAGAATTGTAGGGAGATTCTCAAATGTCCCCTCCATCGTTATATGGTAAAAATACTGTATATTCCTTATATTCTTTCTTATCTCTGTTACCATTATTAGTTTCCTCATTATTTTTATTTTGCTTTTGACCTTTTCTGATCTTCCTAATGAATTTTATAGGATAGTAAGTTATTTGACACCAACGCTTCTTCTTCGATCTGTTTCATTTCATCATTTAGGTCTTTTTTGTACTACTTAGTGCTACTGCTCGGTTTGTTAGACAGACACTTAACTAATTCTGCCTTCCCAGACAGATAACGGATGAGATGCATTAAAGTCTAAATACCTATTGGCAGAATGCGTTGGCTTTATGTAAACGCCACTAGTGTGCAGTTTACCTTCTTCTGCTCGTTTTATTCTACAATCCAACATCATAGCTGATTCTCCTTGTTCATTTTCTGATTCAAATGTGAATTTTATCCCCTCTGCTAGTGAGTTTATATGTGTGGAGAAGCTAGAGATATGTTCTGTTTTTAACACTGAGTGAAAGTGTTATCCACATATCTCCAGCATATTTTTGGAGTAGGATTAAATGTTGTGTTAATAGCAGTATTTTCCCAGCTATCCATCCATAAAGACGTCTGCTACCATAACGGATATTGGTGGTCGCATTGTTACGCCTTCTGTCTGTCTATATATTTTGTCCTGGAATTGATATTATTATGAGCAGTGATAAATTGTGCTCGAAACGTGGTCATGAGTAAATACTACTGTATAACTGTGTGAGACTTTATCAAATTAAATTTTATTCACAATCGAATGGATGCTATTAGCATAATGTTGGCTGTCTATTGTGCTTTGGTTTACTACTTTTGAGATTTACTCAACAGTATCGAGTTATTAGTGGTACAATACAGGCTACTTCGCGCGGAATCTACCATGAGATCTTGTAAGGAAAAAACTACAAAGAGAAATGTGCAAATATTCCAATACAAATTAATGATCAGTTGCATTTACGGTGATAGTGTGAGACAGTGACATCGAATTTGATGTAGTTGTGTTCTCTGAGCAAGCTGAGTGGTTTATTTGCGAAAGGTTTCATTGCCCTACTAGGCAACATCTTCAATTTGAAGTGGGTTTTTAGATTCCTTCAAGAATTTATAAGTCATTTCTTCCGGTGATTTTGGACGTTACTGGTTGCTTTTGTGTACTTTGACACCTTCTAGTGTACTTGTATTACTATTGATTGTTTCCTTAACCTGAAGGTTGACCTTTAGTGTGTATGAGATTTCATTCTTGTCGACTGGTAAATTTTGTCTGTGTCAATGTATCTATCAATCGGCGATTCAGTGGAATAACAGGCTTCTAAATCTTTTCTGGCGTTCTTCACGTTTCCTCTGTTTAATATTTGAGCGGTGTGAAATTATAGGATTTGTAGGCAAACGCAATAAGAATAAAAATATTACGTAGCATTGTGTAAAGTTTGATAACACAGAAATTAATGTCGCAAAACAAATCTGATTAAAAATGACAAGCGTGACTAGTGGAATAGTGAGAATAGTAACAGTAACAACTGACGCAATAAAGGAAGAGTATACAAAATGAATAAACGAAACAACAAATAAGTAGAGCCAAAAATATGAAATGCAGATTATCATACTTTGGCATAGAGGGATTGGGACCATTAACGTTGGAGGGTTGAACGAACTTTTTCCGTATACAGAAATCTGACTTCTCTATTTTGATGACCAAAAATGGCTTCAATAATGCAGATGAGTTTTGGGTACTTAGTGATTTGGGCAAATTACTCTTCACCTTGTAGATAACTTTAAAGGCGAAGTTGTAGAGATAGGATGATCATTATTGACTAGGTGTTCAATGATCGCGCTTCTTATTGCCTCACTTCCACCTCTTTGTTACCATACAGGATGGTGTTCTAACACCATTTTGGACAAAATGGAAGTCGAACGACCGATATACCTAGTTCCACACGAGCAGGTGAGTTGATAAACGCACACAGAGTTGGTCAACTGTGAGATCTTTTCCTTCAGTTTATTGAGGAGTAATGGTCGACAGGAAAACTCTATTCTCAACGATGCAGCAGAGAATGTCTTTTACAGGGACTTTGAGATCCTACTTTTAATAATATCGGAAGCTATGTCAACCTTGATTTCCAAGCTCATGTACAGCATTTCCTTGGTTATGAATGTTAAGTCAAATTTCGTAGATTTTGACTATATATTCTTGTCTATAAAATGTGGAGGAAATCCATTCTCTATTAACATTTTTCTCAAAAGATTTAACTTTTCCTCCACGGGATCAGGACTACATATGTCCTGAATGTGTCGAGTAGCAAGCGACCGGATCAACTTTTGTTTCTGACCAGTCGGTAGCCAAGTGTAGCTATATTATTTCTCAAAAAGCATATATTTAAGATTGCACAGCTTGATGATGAACTCGCTGAGAAGGATCTCTTCATTGAATCACTTGTTTCGACAGCGTTGACCGCGAAGTAATTTGGAAACTACTCGAGTACTACGGCGTACCCCAAATATTCATCAACCTTATTCAACAGCTGTACGACAACGGCACATGTCAAGTGATCCACAACGGAAAACTCAGCGAGGCGTTTGGAGTAAACACAGGAGTCAGACAAGGGTGCTTATTATCACCAATGATATTCCTAATTGTGGTGGACTGGATTATGCGTCAGACAGTGGGAAACGAGAAGACAGGGATATCCTGGACTGACGTGAAGAACCTAGAAGACCTGGATTTCGCGTCGATGATTTATGTTTGATGTCACACAAAATCGAAGACTTACAAGCGAAAACCGACAAACTGGTGGAAGAAGCAGCAAAGACAGGACTCCAGGTGAACATAGACAAGACGGAGGTTATGAAAATAACCAACCAACAACAACAACAACCAACAACAGCAGCAAGATCCAGCGCCAATCAACATCAACGGGAGGGATTTGAAAGAGGTTACTTCATTCACTTATCTAGGGAGCATTGTCTCAACTACAGGAGGAACGGACGAGGATGTCAAATCGAGAATCGGAAAGGCGAGAAACACATTCATCAACCTGAAACCAATCTGGAAATCTTCGTCACTCCTCAACATCAACAACAAAATTCGGATTTTCAATACAAACGTCAAGTCAGTCAGTTCTTCTATACGGATCAGAAACTTGGTGGGTCACAAAGAATATTTCCAACAGCCTGTTGCAGACCTTTATCAACAACTGTCTTCGCTCTATACTGAAGATCAGATGGCCGGAAAGAATCACCAACAAGAAACTATGGGAACAAACAAAACAAGAACCAATCGCTCAACAAATATGCAGGAGAAAGTGGAGATGGATTGGACACTCGCTGAGGAGGCCGTTGGGTGACATCGCGCGTCAGGCCAATGCTCGAGTGGAACCCGAAAGGGAAGCGGCGAGTGTGACGTCCAAGGGTGACATGGAGGAGATCGTGTGAAGAGGAATTGAAACAGTATGGATTAACATGGATGCAGGTGAAAAGTACAGCAGAAGACAGAAGCAAGTGGAGACGTGTAGTTGAAGCCCTATGTTCCACTAGGAACCCAAGGGAATAATAATAATAATAATTGGTGTTATTAATGGAATCATTCTAATAGTTATTGGTGTATTCAAAATTTGTAATCTACCAGATTCTGACAATCTTCATTATCCTTGATGTGATTAATTAATATTTCTTCTACACATTTTCACTTACTGTAAGTTGTGTGTGATTTGATGAAGTGTGACAACTCAAAATACTGTGCTTTTAAGTAAACTTACACGCTGATAATTCAATCCAATTTTAAATATTCATTATCGATTTGAAAATGTCTCTAAGCTCTAATTATTTGTTTACATGTATAAACGCGATGCATCTAAAGGATATTGTTGATAGCTTTCAATTTAAGGCATCTAAAATCTCAAGTTTGATCCGTTAAGGCCTATTTTTGGTGCGGGTGGGGTGGGGCTAACTTAGATACTGGTACAAGTTGTGGAAATATCTAAGTTTTCTTTGAAGGTGAATTATACATGAACTTTGCACTGAGCTCCATCAATTTCCTGGTAGCGTCTTCGATTACGTCACTGGGTTCAGTGCGTTTAATGTTTTGCAGTTACACCTTAGTGATGAGTACTCGTAGTCACGAAACCTAGTTCCAGGGCTACTTGATCATTGTCGATAACCATCTTATATCAGTGGAGAATTACATATGGAGTAAAACAAATTTAACGACCAGAAAATACGATTAGATTTATTTCATTAAAAAGAGGTTATGAAAAATGGTCAAACATTTTAATAAAGTCATATTATCGTACTTCACTTCTTCATGCCTTGCATAGTGGTGTTGCCTGTAAAATATTGAAAAAAGTAGATTGATTCAGTCACTGAATTATTATTATTACTTAATAAGTATAAGAAGTATTTTACAAAGAATAAGGCAGAATTATTATACTGTTCCACACGACAGTTGATTGTAAATGGGTAAAGCTTCATTTATATATATTGATTGGAAATTCAGACTTTATATTTTAGAGTATATTACAAAGTTACGCTTGTTCATTATCCAATCCCTGCTTCCTAGGCATTATATGGTTGGAGGCAGTCGGCAGGAAGCCTTGCTGGGACCTAGGTTTCGTGCTAATTGGCTCTCACCACTAGTCAGCAAGACGTATCTACAATTTTGAAGGGAGGGACTCACGTCCCTTCTGAGATTCGACCCCACGTCATAGACGTTACCACTGAGCTATTCGGACTCGCGATTGACTTCCTGTAGGACTGTGTTGGATATTTTTAACTTGACGCTAGTCAGTAACTAGTGTAATGTGTGTGTCTAGTCTCTGATTGCAGCACTGGGTGATGTGATTTAGAATCTCAGAAGGGACATGATTTCCTTCGAGGCTACAGATGCGCCATGCTGACTGATGGTGAGTGCCAACTAGCACGAAACCTAGGTGCTGGAAAAGCTTCCTGCTGATTGCCTCCAACCATCTAATACTAACAGTTCACAGTGCATAGTGATGGTGAGCCACTTAGTGTCATGGTGGTCACATTGCAAACCTGACTGAAAATAGAATTCAGTCTGCACTGAAGATAGGACTAGACACAGACACACATTACACTAGTTACTGACAAGTGTCCAATCAAAAGACAAATCGCTGCTTCGTTGATGAACCAAAACGCATTTAACTGATCAATCTTGGCAGATATCACACCTCATTTAGCAAAGACACGTGAATGCATTTAATGTGAAAAATCAACAGATTGATGGCAGAAATATATTCCTTCCAATTATTTTCATATCATCAACTGGCTCTACACTAATGTATAGTCATCAAAATCTTTTTACCAATCAAGTGGTTATTTTAGTTAATCAGTTTCAGCTATAAACGGACGGGAGTGGCTGAAATTAAGAGGTTAAAGGTCATCACAAGAATTAACTAATAGATATCTTTCAAGGTAACATGATATCTAAGTATTGAAGGAGGGTTGGGTGAAAATTAATTATTTCCTGAATTTGAGATAAGTTAATTCATAGGTGTAAGCAACAAGTTATTGCATAATCAACATATTTGTAAAATAGCAATCATGACTAAGGAGAATGGGATGACTCTGAAGAATCACGTAAAATACAAACAAACAAGTTAATAGAATTAGCTAGAATTGTAAAAATAAACAAAGTCAAAAGATAGTTACAACTGGAGGAGAAATATCGTTTTTAAAAAATTGATATATATTGTGTAGTTGGCCATGACAAAGAAAGATGCTGTACAAGTTTCTTTTGAATGCAAACACAGATTTAGCTTGTTCAGATGAATTCCGCTTACCTCTGCTGTATATGAGAGTCGTACTCATAGACCATGAGGTGAGAGGTGAGGTGATATACGATAAATAACTTTAAAAGCTTTGTTAGAGTCGAATTGATGTCCAGTATTAACGAGATAAAAGTAACCACTTGATTGGTAAAATAATTCTGATGTAAAAGACTATATATTAGTATAGAGCCAACCAACCGATGATGAAGAAGTAACTAAATCGAAAAGGAATATATTTCCTCACACAATCTGTTGTTTTTTCTAAATGAGTGAATAGGAATTTGGAAATTACCGAAATATGAATGGAGAGATTGTCTTGTTAAGGCCAGTAAGTACTATACCACAATATGCTTTGCTGAATAAATGTATCAGTATAGATTAATGCTCTTCAAGAGAGGTGCAGTTACAATGAGTTCTTTATTTCCCATGGTTCATATAAGAGATAAAACATTCCCCAGGTATTGGGAAAATGAAAACTATATCTTCGAGACAGCTCTCTCTGGATTATCACAGTCGACTGGCAAGGATTACTAGTCCGTGTAATTATGTTCTTGTGATCCAGCTATTGCTTTGCAGGGATTCGATTTGATTAGTTTCGGAATTTCATCATTAAGTAACAACGGTTAGAGAACCATTAGAAAACCATCAGGAAGTACTGTCAGACAGCTAACTAACTGTTTCGTTAGCCTAGTTTGCGACTGACTCACCATCATTACGCAAACATCACGGAGGTTCCAATCTAGCACAATCCACTTACAAGGTGAGCTCGTAGACCATTAGGCCGCTGAGACCCGGCCGATCCAATAACCAGCCCGTGAGTTCCAACTTCTACCGATTCACGACATAGCGCGACCAAGGTCATAGGTGGCGACTATTTGTCCTCACACCGGTGAATCGGCAGAACCTAGAATTCACAGGCTGGCCATTGGATTGGGTTCCGGGTGGCTCAATGGTCTACGAGTGCTCCTTGTAAGTGGAATGTCCTAGATTAGAACCTTTGGTGTTGTTGTTCCCTTGGGTTCCTAGTGAAACATAGGGCTTCAAATACACGTCTCCACTTGTTTCTGTCTTCTGCTGTACTTTTCATCTGTATCCATGTTAATCCATACTGTTTCAACTCCTCTACACACAATCTCCTTCATGTTACCCTTCGACGTCCCACTCGCCGCTTCCCTTTCAGCTTCCACTCGAGCAATGGCCTGACGCGCGATGTCACCCAGAAGCCTCCTCAGCGACTATCCAATCCATCTCCACTTTCACCTGCATATTTGTTGAGCAATTGGTTCTTGTTTTGTTTGTTCCCAAAGTTTCTTGTTGGTGATTCTTTCCGGTCATCTGATCTTCAGTATAGAACGAAGACAGCTGTTGTTGATAAAGGTCTGCAACAGGCTGTTGGAAATATTCTTTGTGACCCGCCAAGTTTCTGATCCATCCGTATAGAAGAAGTGACTGACTTGACGTTTGCATTGAAAATCCGAATTTTGTTGTTAAGTGTTGCTGAGTGATGAAGATTTCCAGATTGGTTTCAGGTTGATGAATGTGTTTCTCGCCTTTCCGATTCTCGATTTGACATCCTCGTCCGTTCCTCCTGTAGTTGAGACAATGCTCCCTAGATAAGTGAATTAAGAAACTTTTTTCAAATCCCTCCCGTTGATGGTGATTGGCGCTGGATGTTGCTGCTTTGTGGTGGTTGCGTGCTGATGATGAATCAGTCGCAAAGTAGGCTGACGAAACAGTTGGCTGTCTGGCAGTACTTCCTGGTGGTTTTCCAATCGTTCTCTAACCAATGTCAGCTCATGATGAAATTTTCTCACTTAGAATTGTAAGTTTCCTGAACAATTCATCTAATATTCTATGTTTTCATCATCAGTCTGCTAAAAACGTTGAGCAGATATCATAGCACTTTTAAGAATTCAAAAAAGACACAATTCAAGATGATGAATTGGTTTTTAAAGTAAGAAAAAATGGTCAGATAGTCGTTGGTGAACATTAAAGCGAATGGATACTATTCATATATAAGAGTCACTGATATATATTACACCGCATTACCAATTTCATCATGGTAAGATTGTCAATTTGAACATTTTATCAGTAATAATATTAGTTAGTACATATATACTCTACTAGAAATGTAACCAAGTGAAGTTACCTTGCACAAATCTACGTAATTCGTATGATTTACGATGTACATAAAAGTATCGAAATATTGTTTAACCATTAATTCGCACTGTATAAGAGAAAAGAAGATTAATTTAGCAATTGTTAGTATATAGAATATTCTTTAAAAATGTGCATATCTATCCTAATTCCTAGTCATAATATTTGCTATCATTTCCAATTGTTAAGCGTAAATATACCCTGCGATAGATTTAGTAACATGGGACACTTACAAAATAAGTGAGCTTGTATTTTATTGGAACGTATTGTCGAACATTCAAATGAACTGTCATCAAGATTTGACAGAATGAAATGAGTAATTCCAGCGTTCCCTATGTTCGGCAATCTGGTCCGAACTTCTTCAGGGAAATTAATCGAAATTAACATTACATAGGTTTACATATAAAAAGGAACATCAATTGTTTTTAAAAATTTGTCCAATCATGAGTCATTCAAAAAGTACCAACAAGTATAATAAACAAAATATTTATGAGCTATGATCAAAATTTGACCTCGGACTTACAAATATCGGTCTACCTTTGTTAAACACTTTAAACAGAGTGTGTATGTGTGTGTGGGTAAACAGTTGTAAAACATTTCTTAACGTCTCCATAAGAAGATATGGACAGTCGAGAATTTTGACCAAGCATTAGTTATTAGTGATAAATATCCATTTTTTATTTAATAATAAGGATTTCCTATGCATCAGCTTACATCACGCCTTCATGTCTGTTCAAACTGTTAGTATCTAGAATTTTATGATTAGATGTATTTTCAAAGTAATGGTGTTTACGATTGGAGTTTAGTAGCAGCACCCTGTCGGATTTATTACTTTGTCTTCTTTCAGAAGATTGAGCTGCTTTATCAGACCTACTGGAGTTGTCAGGTGACTCGACAGCTACGGATTTAGGATATGCATTCTGTTGCAGACAACGGAGAGTGAAAACAAGATGATTGTGCTAATTAAATAGTTTCTTTGTTAATTTAATTCGATTGCAAAATAATTCAAATGACCTGTCGTCAAGATTTGACAGAATAGTTCTAAAATATTTGGGTGCCGAGTGAGAAGTAGACATTTGTAAAAAATTATATTTGTAAAATCTCAGCGAGATTGAAATGAGTAATTCCGACGTTTCTTGTGATGTTCCTTTTATATATAAACCTCTGTTATGTTAATTTCGATTAATTTCCCTGAAGAAGTTCGGATCAGATTGCCGAACATAGGAAACGTTAGAATTAGTCATTTCAATTTCCCTGAGATTTTACAAATATAATTTTTTACAAATGTATCGTCGAACACTTACCCACAGTGATGGTTTTATAAAGGAGAAAAAAGATCCCCACCACCCCATCACCACAGCTATATCCTGGAACCCCTGATTGACTCAGGATATATTCAGGGGCGAACCCACAAAACAACTTCAAAGTCATCTACAGAATACATGATGGGATCTCTCTAAAAGAGTACGAATCAAACTTCTTGAAACTGTAGAAGCATAGGGCAATTCACATGTTAAAACCTGAACTCTGCATACAGAAGAAGAAGTTTGTTCAGTCATTAAATCTACAGTGGACCTGATCTGTCCTAATACCAAACACGTAAATTTTTGTTTCGTTTTTTTTCTTGTTTACTTGTTTCTTAATTGCACAATATTTTCTTCTCCCACCCCTCGTTAAATCTCTCTCTACCCCTTATTACCACTCTTGTTAACTTGACTTTTGTTGAATTTTAATTTTAGGTGAGCCCTAATCAACCCCGTCAATTAGATTATGTTACTCAACTTGCTTATTTAATCTTATTGTAGTTTGTAACCGATTAACAAAATTTGTTACAACTCTAATAATTTTATTTAAGTTTCTACCTGAATAAAACTTTATACATAACGTGATTTGGTAATTAAAATTTACAATTCTAATGACAAATCTTTAAAATATTCATTTTGTTCCTCAGACAATTAACTATACATGTGTTCGTACAGCTTAAGAATGATATCGCCGAAAAGTGTAACTCTTCGTTGAACGTCTTCTCTTTTTGTATTGGAGTGGTTATATAAGACAGTGTATGATATCAAAAGAGGTTTCAGCACCTAAACTTTACCATCTTTTTTGATGAGAAAATGTAACACAAAGCTTTTAAATGGTATAAAAAGTTATTGACTTGAAGATATCACCCATTGAGATGCTGGCATATGCAAATGACGACTCCCATGAGGGACGAAACATGTACTCTACACCTCACTAATAAACACTACCTATCAAGATATGTAAATATATATAGGATTGTACAGCTTGATAATAAATTCGTTGAAAAGAGGCTCTTTGCTGAATATTGTGTTCTACCAAGAAACATCATAAAATTATGATATTGTTAAAAAAAATATTCCCAGGTGACAGAATTCCTAAACGACTGAAGATTGAATAAGATAAAACGTGTGGACTTATCAACTATTTTCATAAGATGGTTCTGACATTTGCTGATGTTAGTAAATTTTTTTATTCCTTTACGTTCCCAGTAAATATGGGGTTTCAAGCTAGAGGCTTGAAGTTTCGGTAGAAGTGGTATTTATTTTTATGGGATTGGGTTGCTAGTTTCATGCCGAACAGTCCATCTTCACCAGTAATATTAGTGCCCTTAGTGAGGTAAAGGAGAGTGTGTTGGTCGGATATCGAACGCCGGACTAAATGAGGCGTAGCTGAAGAACATTCTACAGCTTTGCCACCGACACGGTGTTAATAAACGTTAGTTCAGACTACTAAGTTTAGAAGTTCCCCGTGAAATCATAGGGATTCACAAATACTAATAGTTTTAAAATAAAAGGGACACTTTGGTTATCTACAGCGAAAACTAGATCATTTCTAATTTCCTGAGTAGTAAAAAGTTATAGTAGGGTAAGCTAAGTTATAAGCTCGACGCCTTCATGAATCGATAAACTAATGAGAACCAATAAATCTATTTAATCTGTAGGTACTTTGGTTGAAATGAATTATTGCAGTTACTTAATTCATTGAAGAAATTGAGCTGATCTCTTAATTGCGACTCTCTGTAAACCATTTGAAACGGGGCATAAGCTGAATGAAACAGTTATGATTTTCGTCCTAGTTTGAGACTCTTCATCAGTACGCACCACCGGCAGTAACTCATTGAAGAAGACATTGCGAAGTGGTCGCGCTATGTCATGAATTGGCAGAAGTTAGAATTCATGGTCTGGCCATCGGATAGCGTCCCAGTAGCTTAATAGTCTACGAGCTCGCTCACCTTGTAACCAGAAGGTGTTGGGTTCAAACCCTTGCATTGGGATGGGTGCGTACTGATGAAGAGCCCTAGCGGAAAGCTGTCCAGTACTCTCAGCTGGTTCCCAGTGGTGTCTAACGATATCAGTTCATGATGAAATCCTCCAACCAATGAAACAGTTATGCATCGAATAAGTATGCAAGAGAATATCAGATGACTAATTGTATCCTATGACCTATTACACAATAAACTTCTCAAAGCCTTTAAACAAATATCACAATTTAAATCAAAACTGATAACCTACCTGATCTTTGTATATTATTGAAAATGAACAAAAGAACTTAGCATAACTGTCAAGATATTTCTGCGTATCTGTTGAAATGACAACTTTTTGCCATAGGTAGAAAGTATCAATACACAGGGTGCAAGCTAAACATTTTGTATACCTTGTAAGTTAACCGGTAAAACTGCCTTACTTGTATTTCTATCAAATTGATATTTATCAACACCAGGTAAGTCTTCCGAATTTACATTTTCCTGAAAGATAAAGTTGAAATTATTATATCAGATTCAATATGAATGAAGGCAAGAAATACATTCATCAACCTGAAACCAATCTGGAAATCTTCGTCACTCAGCAACACTCAACAACAAAATTTGGATTTTCAATACAAACGTCAAGTAAGTCAGTTCTTCTATACGGATGGATCAGAAGCTTGGCGGTTCACAAAGAATACTTCCAACAGCCTGTTGCAGACCTTTATCAACAGCTGTCTTCGTTCTATACTCAAGATCCGATGACCGGAAAGAACCACCAACAAGAAACTATGGGAAGAAACAAAACAAGAACCAATCGCTCAACAAATATGCAGGAGAAAGTGGAGATGGATTGGACACTCGCTGAGGAGGCCATTGAGTGACATCGCGCAACAGGCCAATGTTCGAGTGGAACCCGAAAGGGAAGCGGTGAGTGGGACGTCCAAGGGTGACATGGAGGAGATCGTGTGCAGAAGAGTTGAAGCAGCATGGACTAACATGGATGCAAGTGAAAAGTACAGCAGAAGACAGAAGCAAGTGGAGACGTGTACTTGAAGCCCTATATTCCACTGGGAACCCAAGGGAACAACAATAATAATAATCAATATGAACGTCAGTCATTCTTTTTCTTTAATTTTCACAGATGAAAAAGGATTATGGTTAATTGAAATGAACTATCTAAAACAAGAGCAACCGCCGGAGAGTTAAAATATCCTGCATCGCATTATTTTGTTACACAGTGAGTGTACATCCTTCAAAGAAGTGACCAAGAACAAATAAAAGAACAAGGTAGTGTAACTGGAAACTTTTATCAATGGAACAACTATTCAGTCATCAGATGGTTTTGTTAAGTGAACCTTTAGTGATTTGAAATAATTGAGGTTTATAGCTCAGTGTGGCAATGGGAGACATTTTGTGTTCTGCGAGCACTGAGATTTGACTGTAAACATTTTGTCACTGGGTTAGGTAACACCAGCAGCATTGACTTTATTAGGTACTTCCTAATGAAATTAATGCTCTCTACCATAGGCTCAAAATTTGTCAACCGATGACTTCAATCTGACCAATATTCAGTTGGCATTTCGTGACTAACATTGATCTCTGCTTCATAGCATATTCCTAAATGGCTCCAAAAGTAAATAGAATACCCAGAACCCACTAATGGTGAAAACAGGCGACGATGAAGCGTCTCTATTGAGAAACATATTACAGAGACAGGACATAGAACTGATATTTACATGTCTTTTAAACCTATCTCTAAAACTTGTTTGAGGTGTATCCTAAAGTTTTTGGAAGCCCTAGCCCTGACAATTAGAAAGCTTTTTTATTCCTTCACGTTCCCAGTGGAACAAAGGGCTTCAAGCTAGAGGCTTGAAGTTTCTGTAGCAGTGGTGATTATTTTTACAGGATGGGGTTGCTAGCTTCATGCCCAGTCTTCCCTCCTTGCCAGTTCTATTAGCGGCTTATCGAGGTAAAAAAGTGGGTCGGCCAGGGATCAAACCGCGGACCATATGCATGGTCGGCAAGCGTCCTAATCGCTGTGCCACCGACGTACAAATTAGGAAGTTTAAACCACATTTATGCGTTCAAATCAATAATTCGTCGTCACACTAAACCATTTCCCTGGGTAAACTTTGTTTTGATACCAGCCAGGGTGATAGATGTACTATTACCTTCCTTCTTTGGTTTAGTGATCTTCATTGTTACTTTGACCTCCAATATATACTGTGTGTGTGTGTGATCAGATTGTTCGAAATATGTTGCGCAAATACAACATTACACAATTCAGAAAAATTACGTCAGAGAATCAAATTGTTCCTATACTGAGTTCTAAAAAAAAGGCGTGAACAGTGAAGAAAATTTTCTTTTCAATGATTCATTTTCATAAGCTGTACTGTCGTAGTTATATTTAACCAAGGATTAATAAGACGACCCATCAGATTGTGACAAAATCTGTCCTCGAAAACGTGTTACGTAATGTAAGATATAATCTAGAAGTGGTAACTAATCAGAAATTAGAAAAGGGGCAGAAGTTGGTATGACGTAATAAGTGTGTGTGTATGCGTCGGTGGCATAACGGTTGGGACGCTCGCCGACCATGCACGTGGTCCGGAGTTCGATCACCGGCCAACGCACTCCTTTACCTCGTTAAGCCAGGAATAAAAGCTGGTAAAGATGAAAGGTTGGGCATGAGGCTAGCAACCCCATCCTGTAAAAATAAACACTGCTACAGAAACTTCAAGCCACTAGCTTGAGGCCCTATGTTCCACTGGGAACGGGAAGGAATAAATAAATAATAAATAAGTGTGAGAAAATGACTAATCAGTATAATTGTCATAAGAAAAAGGCAAAAACAGCGATGAAAATTTTATTTTTCGACGATTCATTTTCATGAGCTGTACAATCTTAATTAATTAACAAAGAATTCATAAGACAACCAATCAGATACTGGTAAAATTTATCCTAGGAAAATGTATTAAGTAATGTAAGGTGTAACCTAGAAGGGATGACTACGTATAAGTTAGAAAAGAGGTGGAAGTTGGTATGGCGTAATAAGTGTGAGATAATGACTAATCAGTACAGTCTTGTAGAATGGATAGGAACTAGTGGAAAGGTGATAATGCGTTTT